CTGAGATGTCCCTTGAGATGTTCCCTGTGGTGTACCTGAGGTATCCCCTGTGCTGTACCTGAGGTGTACCCTGGGGTGTACCTGAGGTGTCCCCGGTGGTGTACCTGCGGTGTCCCCTGGGGTGTACCTGAGGTGTCCCCTGGGGTGTAACTGCGGTGTCCCCTGGGGTGTACCTGAGGTCTCCCCGGTGGTGTACCTGAGGTGTCCCCGGTGGTGTACCTGCGGTGTCCCCTGGGGTGTACCTGAGGTGCCCCCTGGGGTGTACCTGAGGTGTCCCCGGTGGTGTACCTGCGGTGTGCCCTGGGGTGTACCTGAGGTGTCCCCTGGGGTGTACCTGAGGTGCCCCCTGGGGTGTACCTGCGGTGCCCCCTGGGGTGTACCTGAGGTGTCCCCTGGGGTGTACCTGCGGTGTCCCCGGTGGTGTACCTGAGGTGTCCCCGGTGGTTTACCTGCGGTGTCCCCGGGGGTGTACCTGAGGTGTCCCCGGGGGTGTACCTGCGGTGTCCCCGGGGGTGTACCTGAGGTCTCCCCTGGGGTGTACCTGCGGTGTCCCCTGAGGGGTCCCAGCTGCCATAGTTTTGTGCTTCCCTCCCAGCAGGTGGTTTTCACGTGTTTTTTCAACACAACACTAACGTTACGTCTGTGCAGCTGAGAATCTGCTCACCCACAAACCAGCCTGCCCCGCACAGAGAAGCCCCTCTGCCTCCTTTGGCCTCGTCATTGCTCATCTCTCTGGCAGAAAGAAGAGCTGAAATCACAGAAAACCCAGAGCCTTAAACACCTCGCAGCCAAACGCACACGACAAGACACTCAGCTCACCAGCTGGGGCTGCCATGCCGTGCCTGGACTGCCTGTGCCAGGTGGTCTGGGTGAGCGGGGGCGCTGGCCCTGCTCATCACCCCCTGCACCAAGGTGCCCCCAAGGTGTCCCCTGGTATTGTCCTGGCTTTTAGCAAAATGCTGGAATCATCCCAAACAAGTGCCAACCAGAGTGGTTGAGCCTGCCACAGCATGTCTGCACGATGGGACCAACAGCTACCAATTGTCACCCACACTGTACCATCGACTGGACAGAGCCAAAAACGCTGTCTTGGTCCTCGGTGTGCACAGGCCACCGTCTGCACGATGCTCAAAAACAGTTATCCGTGCTGTCTACGAACACGCGTAAGATACAAGATACGCGAGCATGTGCAATAAACACACGAACACTTGCAGGCGGGTTAATGCTTATGAAGGTACAGAAGTGGGCCCTGGGACGACGGACACAGAGATGGAGATCTTGTTGGGACAGAGCTGGAAGGGGCTGAGAAGAACGCAGAGGCAGCGGTGGGGTGGGATCAATTGTATCCAAATGTTTTATTTCTTAATAACAGGAGGCCGCGGCAAACCTGCAGACATACATGTGACAAGCCGAGTGCATCATGCCTCACCGCCACAGCCTCCGCGCTTTTCTGTATGCTCGATTTAGTTTTCAATAAAATAAAATGAGAGTCTGCTATAAATTTCATCAATCTTCTCAGACATAAGGAATAATAAACTGATCCTGCCAGGCCTGCACTGGATTCCGCATGTTCTCGGCGGTGCCATGAGCGCACAGGAGTGGGATACTAAGGGGCCAGAGGTGGCTGGGGCCGGGCTTCCAGAGGCTCTGGTCTGTCCAGCTGAGGGTCCGGGGTGTCCTGGGCAGGTCTCCAATAGATGCCCCAGATCTTCTGGCCGGCATGACTATGGAGCACTCGCCACAGATGCGGCTCCGGCAGGGCTATACGAGTGGTGTCAGAGCAGGACGAGGCCAGAGGAACATTCCGAGGCCGGCACTGCCGGGGTGTCCCAGGTGACCTAGATCGTTAGCGAGGAGCTCACTTTGCCTAGAAACGAGGGCCTTTCTTTTACTCACTGAAGGGCGGGCGAGTTCTGGGAACGGCCGGGAGAGAGCCATTTGGACAGGGGCCTTTGAGCGGGCTGACAGCTGACTGATGACCGGCCGCGGGCTGACAAAGCGGGGCTGTGTGCCGCCCGCGCATCGCGTTGCCACTCCCTGGGAAACTAATTGCTCTGAATTGTGCGCGGCGACGTTATTTTTCTGGCGATCACTTCTTCTGAATGTCCAAAATGAGCATGAAACAACTCTTTTGACCGGACATAAAAGTTAAATGTCCCAATGTTGATCAAATTAACTTCAGCAACGTGACAATGGACTATATTTGTGAGAGAATAATGGGGGACAAAGGACTGCTTTCTGCCCAGATTTCACAGTTGCAATGTAAAGGTGTTTCTGTTGAATGAGGCCAGCCATGTTTCAAAGGGGAAAAGAGAGCACATCAGCCGTGGAAAAAATCCCATTTCACGGCTTGCAAGGGAGGTCCAGGGAGCATCAGTGACGGGCACGAGAGGACGCGGGCGTGAAGGCCTCATGGAGAGGCTCACTTGTCCCGACACTACTTCACTTGCCCCCACTTCCCAGCCCCTTGCTGCCCGGGTCCCAGAACCTTGGGGAGGGTCATCTTGGGGGATAGGGGAGCCCAGGCCCAGGGGCTGCACAAACACTGCCCATCCCTCCCAGGCCCAGGTCCACGATGTCCAGGGCCTCGGCACCTGCATTCTAACAACAGGGTTGTCTGTTTTTTTAAACCTTCCATAACAAAATAATAAAAGCAAAAAAATTCATAAATGTTCCAAAAACATAAAGATAATTACGCTAAAAATTCAGGTGGACTACTGACTGCACTCCATTTACTTTGAAAATCCCATCTTCTGATGTTGCACGCTAGCATTTCTCTACTAAGGAGGGTGAACTCAAGCTGGAATCCAAGGCGGTTCCACGCTGTGGCTCCCGGGGCACTGGACATGAGGGTGCCCCTGAGGTGTGGGCGCTGGGGGTGCCTGGTGCTGCAGTGTGAGCGTCTGAGGGCATGAGCGTCTGTGGGTGCTAAGCACTGCACTGTGAGTGTCTGTGGGTGCCAGGCCCTGCATTGTGAGCGTCTGAGGGCATGAGCGTCTGTGGGTGCTAAGCACTGCACTGCGAGTGTCTGTGGGTGCCAGGCCCTCAATGTGGTGTACTGGGCACCGAGGGCTCCATGGCACTGCAGTTCCTGCCTGCTCCCCTAGGCGCTGCCCCTGACCTGGCGCTGCAGGGAGCTTCTGAAGAGTTTACGGACTTTGGACAAAGGGACTTCATCCCTTAGTGTTTTCTCCGTAACAACCTTTCATTCTGGAACACTCCTAGCTCGCAGGAATGCTGCCAGGCAGCCGGGAGCACCCCGGTTAACTGGCCTTGTCCAGGCTGGTCCTGGTGTGGCAGCTCTCTGCAGGTCTGGTGCCATGGTGCCCATGCTCAGATGGGAGCAAGGACTGTGGGTTCTGCTGCAGGGAGATTAAAGCCGGGGAAGGGGACGTCCCCCCGCCCCGAGCCCGCTCCCTGCCCCAAGTCTTAGCGAGCACACAGACAATGCTCCGGACGGTTCCCAACGCCTGAAAGGGACTCTGTTGGTGGCAGCCCTCCGTCAAAGGGCAGTACGGCATTGTCCCCCACCGGCATGGCAGAATGGAGTCTGCTGGTGGCCGCCAAAGGTTAGCAGCCGATGAAAGGACGTCCCACTATTCACCGCTCCTACAGAATGCTCCTTTGTGGCGGCCCGCGCTGCACAGCGGAGGTCCGGAGCCGCGGCTGGCTGCGCTCACCCCAGAGCGGCCCATGGGAACCAAAGCCTCAGATAGCCCCACCCAGAGGGCTCCCAGAGGCAGCGGGGACGCAGTGTGGGGCCACGCTGCACTGACAGCCCACACGGTTACCAAGGCCGCGGGCACCGTGGGAGGTCCCAGTGACACACGGCACAGGACCCACAGCCTGGCAGAATACACACAGCACGGTACTGTGGGTGAACCCAGCTGTCTCCCCGAGGACAGTGCTCTGCTTGCAGCCCCACTGAGGGGCTCCCAGGGCAAGGCCAGCCCACGGCCACGGTGCACTTCAGTACCTCACAAAGGGCCAGCCCGCACACAGTGTGCCCCAAAACACACGGATGAGCTGGCTACATGTGGTCACTGGCAGGCGTGTGAGAACCAACACGTGTGTGCGCACACACCTACATGCACACACATACACACGTGCAAATGCACACAGCACAAGCATGCACATACATGCAGACACTCACAGACATACATGTAAGCACATACGCATATGGCACATACAGCACGCATGCACATATATACATGTGCGCACACACACGTACGTGGCACATACATGCGTGTGAATACACACAAATGTGCACATACAAACACACCCACACATATACATATAAAAACCTTCCTATTCTAAGCCCCATGAAGAGGCAGACCTTACGATCGCATCTCGCAGGTGAGAAAACACATCTCAACGCTGGGGTTGTCCAGGCTCACAGAACAGACAGAGCACACGGAGGTGGGGGGCACTGGGAGAGAGCACACGGGGGGCCCTAGGAGAGTGCACACGGGGGGCCCTAGGAGAGTGCACACGGGGGGCCCTAGGAGAGTGTACACGGGGGCCCTAGGAGAGTGTACACGGGGGCCCTAGGAGAGTGTACACGGGGGGCCCTAGGAGAGAGCACACGGGGGGCCCTAGGAGAGAGCACCCGGGGGGCCCTAGCAGAGCACACTCGTGTACGTGTTATTTCTCTTGCCGTCTCAGACAAGCCTCTCTGAGGGCGAGGCTCTCCTGTGTCTCTGGCCAAGTCTGCAAAGCTCCAGTATTGTATCTACACCCTGCCACCTCTCTTAATGGCACGGGATGTGTTTTCTCATCTTTTCAGAAATACAAGAGAAAAAGTGGCACAGCTGCCCCGTCAGGGTCCCTGGTGAAGGCACTGTTCAAGCCTTCGGATGGGTCAAGGGCTTTGCACCACCTCAGTGGAGTCAACAATCACAACTTTCACCAACAAATAGGAAAAAACGAGAAAAAACAGTGAAAACCGACAGCAACAGGCATGTGAGCCGTGGGGGGGCCTTCGGCGGCACAGTGCGTACCTGTCCAGCACGTAGCCGAGGGCCTTGTGCCGGATCCCCGAGTACACGGACGGGCTCGTCTCCCAGGCCACCAGGTTGGACGCGTCGTGGAAGAGATGGATGTTCACCAGGTCGAAGGCGCTGCAGCAGAGAGAAAGACGGTGACGCAGGTGGCGGCCGGCGCTGACCCATGTGCTCCACAGCAGGCCCCTCGGGAGCCCCGAGGCCTGGGGGAAGCGTGACACAGCCCCACCTGGCCTGCCACCTGCCCACCCGCTCCAGGTGGGCCATCCCACCCCCCCCCGCCTACAGGCTCAGGGAGGGACACCCGGATGTGACTGGCAGCCCCTGGAAGGACCCCCGACTCTCTTCCCCTCAAAGCAGCTCCTCAGTCAGACCACGTCCCATCTCCCTGCCAGCAGCGCCGCAGGCTAACACACCTGGAATGGCCTGGCGGGGGGCGGGGGGCAGGGGGCTTTGTGGAGGGGTGGCATGGACAGAGGGGACTGCACGGGGCCGTTCAACAGGCTCCATCTGCAGCAGGTGGTGGCTGTCTTGGCCCTCCACAGTCACACGTGCTTCTCCTGCTGTGTCTCACTCTGAGGTGAGAACATCTAGAAGACTCTGAGGGCCCCAGGATGAAAAATGGAGACTGCTGGCTCTGAGCCAGGACCCTGCCTGCCCTCTGGACTCCACCTGCTGGCAGCACTGGGACCCTGTGGTGGGCTCCGAGCTTACAGAGGGGCACGTGGCTCACCTCTAGGGGCGGGGAGGCACAGCGTGTGGGCACAGGCTCCAGAGCCGGCCCCAGGCTGACCTGCCTTGGCTGCACCCAGCAGCGCTGCACAGCTGGCCTGGGCCCCGTCCTGGCATTCGTGCCGGACGTACCAGCACTGCCTCTAGTGGTTCGAGGACTGACGAAAACAAGCCGTCCAAGCCCCGCGAGACACCGGCACACAGCCCTCCCAGCCCGTGGGCTGCCTGCCCCTGCCCCACTACACCTGGACCACTGACTGGCACAGGATGTGGCCAGGCCCCACAACCCTGCGCAAGTGGACACAAACCACCCTAGACAGACCCCGCTGTGAGGAACGTGGCCCTCAGACCGAGTGTCCACAGACGATGCATCAGAAGCAGGTGTCTGAGCGCACGTGAGGCATGAGGAGCGCCGGCCTGAGGCTTGCTGGCAGACAGGAACAGTTTGAACATTCTTATCATGGCAGAAGAGGTGGGCTGTGTGTCACTGCGGACACTCACCCGTGCAGGGCAGGTGAGGAGCACTGAGCCGGGTTCACCTGGCTGCGTTCCCGCCCAGGGCCCCGACGTGTTCAAGTCCCTGAGAAAACAGGCTGCGGGCAGTTCACCTTTGCAGCTGTGTGACCACTAAGACAAGGGGCAGCCAGGAGGAGCCCACAGCCTGGCCGCCTCGTTCACCACAACCTGGCAGACTGAGCTCACCCCCAGGAGGGATCGGAGTGTCTCCTCACTGTGCTGAGTGCCTGGACCCTAGCCCCCGGGGACTGGGTGGCAGCCAGGGTTTCTGTGAGTCAGCAGAGCCCATGGTGAGGCCACCATCGTGGAAATGCCCAGCGGGGGAAACGAACATCTGACCACTCATGAGGTGGGCATGAGCAGCCTAGCCGAGCACGTACCAGTCAGCAATGCACCATCTCGTCCGGATGAAGCCCTTTCGGGACCACTTGCACTGAAAAACAAACAGGAACGAGGTGAGTGGCTGGAGGCAGAGGGCAGCCGTGCAGAGCTAACAGTCAGGGAGTGCATGGGTGCCTTTCCGATGAGAAAAAAAAAAAATTAGTCTCTCAGCATTTAAGGCACTGTTAAAAACTACTGAAATATGTGAAACGTTAAAAGTTATTATTATAAGTCATTATATAAAAGTTACTATATCTGTGTTCTGTATGTTCAAAAAGCTAAGTAGAAACGTGGAATATATAGTCGTCCTGAGTGAGACTCCCAGAGAGCAAAGCTGCATTGCAGGAGATGAAACACACACGGGTAGGACAGAGGGCAGACAGTCACTGAGGGTCATCACGGCACCGTGTGTGCAGAGAACTGTGCTCCCCAAGGTTTTCCAGGCTGTGACTTTACAGAAGCAGACGGCCAGGCCTGTCTTCTGAGGCGCCTCTCGGGGTACGAACCACCAAGCTTTCCGCCTGTCGTCGAGTGCTTAACCATTTCTGCCACCCGGGACTCACAGTTTAGACAGTGCGTAAGGAAGCTAAGTGAACCTGAAGACATGCCAACAGAAACGATCCAAAGTAAAACACAGAGAAGGAAGAGGAAAAGAGAACTGAGTGTCGGCAAGCTGTGGGTTAACTTCAGGCAGACTGAAATATGAGTAACTGAGGACACAAAGAAAGGGGACACAGAAAAATAATGAAGAAATTGTGGCAGAAACGTCCCCGGTTTGGCAAAAACTATATAAATCCACCGAGGCACATCATCATCAAATTTCTCAAAACCAAAGGCAAAGAGAAAAAAAGACCTGTTACACAGAGAGCTAAAGATGCCTGAAGACTTCTCGTCGGAAACAGTACAAACCAGAAGGACAGTGTGCCGACCTCCGCTAAGTGCTGCGAGGACTGAACCCCTGTCGACCCAGAAGTCCACACCCAGCGTGGTCGCTGAGGTTGTGCGTCAGCCTGGCTGCGCCATGGTTCTCGGTGGTTTGGCAGTTACGATGTAGTCTGGCACTTGTGTGGTGATGTCATCACTTCCATGATGAGATTTAATATAATGTGATCGCCTCCATGATGGGATCTGCTGTGAGTAGCCAGTTAAAAGGGAGTTTCCTTGGGGGTGTGACCTGCATCCAACATAAGTGGACTTTCTGGCTAGGCTTGCAGGCTTCTGCTCACTCTGGATCCTGCAGCTGGCTCCTGTTCGTCTGACCTCCAGTTCTTGGGACTTGAGCTAGCAAGCAGCTTACCTGCCGTCTTGCCTTCCAGTCTTAGGATTCATTAGTCTTCGCAGCCTGTGAGCAAGAGCCCTGCTGTCTGACCTGTCGATCTTGGGTTCGCCAGCCCCTGTGGCTATGTGAATCAGGAGAAGCTTCCAGCCTGACCCACGGACTTGAGACAATCCAGCCTCTACAACCGTGTGAGTCATTTCCTTGATATAAATCTCTCTTTACATATATTTATACACTTCATTGGTTTTGTTTCTCTACAGAACCCAGCCTAAGACACCCAGAAAAAATACCTTTTATAAAATGAAGGCAAAATATTTTTCAGATGTAAAACACTGAATAAAATCACCAGCAGACCCACACTACAAGCAGTAGTAAATGAAGTCCTTCAGGTGGAGATAAAATGGTATCAGGTGAAACAAGGATCTACACGGAGCAATGACGAGCACCAGAGGCAGTAACGGCACAGGAATTCACAGTCAGATGCTGAGGAAAACGTTCCCTGTCTGAAACATGGCGTCTAGGCCATTCAGTGTTGGTGCTTTATTTCATACAAATAACTCAGTGGTCCCTACGATGCCCCCTTAGCTCACTGTCCCATCTTTCTACCTCTCCTCATAACCAAACTTCATAAGGGAGGTCCAAACATACTGTTTCTATTTCTTCCATCCCCATTTAATCCTCAAGGGCAGTTTGCTGTCTACTCCCCACACCATCCCAAGTGCTCTCCTTAGCAGACACTTGTTTTTTTCATCTCACTCCACCCTTCAGGAGCATTTGACACAGCCCACAACTCTCTTCCTTCGAAGCGCTTTTCTTCCTACCTCCCTTGTCAGCCTCTCTGTCTTTAGCTCCTCACTTCCACCCAACTCTGGAGGCTGGGGTTCCTCTGGCCCAGGCCCTCTTCTCCTCCTGCACCCCCTCCACACACAGTATCACTCGTGGATGAAAACACACACCAAACTGATACCTATCCACCTAGCCAGTCCTTTCCCTCAGCACGCTGACCTATCCCATGGCCTCGTGGCCTCCCCCAGCATTCTAGCAGGGGTAACTGTCAATCCTTGGAAGACACATTTCCTTCCCTCTGGGAGCTTTAAGGTTTCTCCCTATCACGTCGCTCTAAACTTTCACTACAATTAAATATGCTCTTATGTATCTTGCACTGTACTCAACATGTCTCCGTCTGAGAGCTCACGTCTGATTTCTGGAAGAAAAATCCCCTACTATCTCATCCAATATTGCTCCCATTGTTTCTTTCTGGAGTTTCTTTTGGAGGAAAACTGGAGCCTCACAATAGGGCAGTCATGTCTTCTTAATGGCTTTTTTCCATATTAAAACAAAAACAAAACAAAATATTGACTGTTTTAAATGGATTCCTCAATAATCTTCTAATCTATTAATTTGCTTTAGAATCTGTTCCATTCTTTATTTTTAATTATTATTTTTAATGACTCCTTCTGTAGGTTTTTTTCACATTCCCTTGTTCTTGTTCTTCTGTTAAACACAATGTAACAGATTTATTAACTGATTTATTTCTGACTGCTTGAGTTTAAAAACATTTTGTTTGTTTTTAGTAAGTGTTATCCTTCTATTTATCTCTTTGGACGTCTTAAATATACTTTTTTAAAAAGTGCTTGCCAGCCTGTTCCATAAAATTAATTTTTTGCAGTAAATTCATGTTCTGCAGACCTTTTGTTTATAGATTTTCATGACATGCAGCCTCTTGCTGAGTACAAGGCCCCACCTTCCTTTCTAGAACTTAATATAATTGTCAATCCAGTTTTACTTTCATTGAAAATGGCATTTGTGAGTTTCTATACCAAAAATTAATTACTATCCCCTTGCAGTTTTCATCAGTTATTTGAAATTAATTAAGATGTAAATATGTATGTGTGCAGTTTGAATATATATATATATAATAGGTGTGTATCCTGTATTTTTAGATTTTTTAATTTTCCACAGAAATAGATGATTATTTCCAACATTAATAATTAATAGAATGAATAAATAAAACAGTAAACAAGGTGCTTTTTGTATAATACAGAATTTGTTATAACTATTTTTTTATTCTAACCAGATTTAAGATTTTTAACTAAATTGAAAATGAATCTCAGAAAATGTAAACGGTATAACATTATAACCAAATATTTTTTTAACTGTTTTTATTTTTTCTTTATGTTTTGACCTCTGCTACCATGCCTTTTTTTTTTTAAATTAATTCAGATGAAGGTTTACAGAACTACCTTCTCATTAAACAATCAGTACACGTATTGTTTTGTAACATTGGTTACCAACCACACAAAATGTCAACACTCTATAACCAAATATTTTAATCAAATATTTGTATTTGTATTTTATGCTCCTTTGGAGACAAGTTCATTGTAACAATTATGAATTCCCATTTAGATTACATTCCCAAATGATTATAATGCATAAAAAATGATACTATAACTCATGAGATTCTGGCATTTTCATAGCATATGGCTACATGCAGAGCCCCGGTGGTGCAGAGGTTAAGAGCTACAGCTGCTAACCAAGAGATCGGCAGTCTGAATCCACTAACTGCTCCTTGGAAACCGTATGGGGCAGTCCTACTCTGTCCCATAGGGTCGCTGTGAGTTGACATTGACTCTACAGCAACAGGTTTGGTTTGTTTGGTTTATGGCTACATCTGGAGTCCCTGGGTGGTACAAATGGTTAATGCACTCGGCTGCTGAAAGGTTGGAGGTTCAAGTCCACCCAGAGGCACCTAGGAAGAAAGGCCTGGGAATCCACTTCCTTAAAATCAGTCATTGAAAACCCTGTGGAGCCCAGTTCTACTCTGACACACGTGGGGTCACCGTGAGTTGGAGTCAACTTGGCGGCAATGGCTTGGTTTGGTGTTATGGCTTTATCTACTGATCTCAGATTCTCCTCCTCAAGAGGGAAGCGTGGTGTGTTTGGGTCTGTGGGATGAGGCTGAGATGTGCCCGCCTTTCCTGAGTCCATACTCCCTTCAAGGGCCCTTGGAGAAAGAACCAGAACTAGAAACCGTCTCCCTAGTTCCTAGACCCAAGTTCCCTCTTTGACCCCTCAGCTTCCTCTGTCCACACCCCGAACCCTGGGGGAACATAATGTAGGCCAGTGCTGGGTGGGGCCCCCAAAGAAATTAGGAGGTGCAACTGCCTTTCTGATGGAGGTTACTCTTGCGATGGAGGTTACCGCATACCCAGCACACACACCCCACACATGCACACGCACACATGCTATCCATATGAGCACAAGTAAGAATCACCAGGACCACCATCACAGATTACACCCCTGGGGCCCAAAGAAGTTTCTAGATGTAGGCAAACAGCAGAGGGTGCCGCCTGCCCTGCTTGCTGCCTGGGTAGCGCACACGGAAGCAGAGTGCGAGTACGGCGGGGTCTCCTCAAATGTCAGACTGACCCGCCCCATGGTCTATCCTCACACCCTCTGACTGTGGGTCTCTCTGACCCTTCGTTCTTAGCCCCCGCAGGCTGCAGACAGCGGCCAGGGAGAGCTCCTGCTGCCTCCTGCACGTCCGGGGGGCAGGCCGTCCGGCTTTCGGAGGGGCCGTCCCCACAGATGACCGATGCGGCACCTTGGGGGGCCGCTCATCCCCCACACAATGAAGTCCCTGAGAGCCCTGTTAATGGGATTCCTGTAGGCGGCAGATGGATTGCGAATACAGGCAGTTTCATCTACTAAAAGACGACATAAATCACACCTGAGAAAAGAGGGGCTGGGAAGGTTATCGCCACACAACCCTC